TTTGAAGTTCTGAGTAAAAGAGAATGTAACTGTAATAGATGTTTATATATGTATAGAAACTACTATGTTGGCCTCCTAGAAGATGGTGCAGACTTACACTTCTGTTTTTCCATGATGTCTGGAGTATAGGCTGTTAATAATCTTTTATTTATTTATTTATTTATTTATTTATTTATTTTTGACAGGCAGAGTGGACAGTGAGAGAGAGAGACAGAGAGAAAGGTCTTCCTTTGCCATTGGTTCACCCTCCAATGGCTGCCGCTGATCCGAAGGCAGCGCACCGAAGGCAGGAGCTGATCTGAAGGCAGGAGCCAGGTGCTTCTCCTGGTCTCCCATGGGGTGCAGGGCCCAAGCACTTGGGCCATCCTCCACTGCACTCCCTGGCCACAGCAGAGAGCTGGCCTGGAAGAGGGGCAACCGGGACAGAATCCGGTGCCCCGACTGGGACTAGAACCCGGTGTGCCGGCGCTGCAAGGCGGAGGATTAGCCTATTGAACCACGGCGCAGGCCCAGTAATCTTTTATTTTTAAAGACTTCTTTTTATTTATTTGAAAAGCTGAATTAACAGGAGAGGGGGACGAGGAGATCCTCTATCCACTGGTTCAATCCCCAGTGACTGCAATATCTGGGGCTGGGCCATGTGGGAGCCAGGAGCTTCATCCGTGTCTCCCACGTGGGTGACAGGGGCCCAAGTACTTGGGCCATCCTCTGCTGCTTTCCCAGGCAGATTAGCAGGAATCTGGATTGGAAGTGGAGCCGCCAGTACTTGAACCAGCACCTGTATGGGATGCTGGCATCCCAGATGGCGGCTTTACACTCTACGCTACAATGCCAACCAGTTATTAATCTTTAATAGTAACTATCATTAACACTTGACAGTACAAAATGGCATTTTACCATTGAGCCTGCATTCTTTTATTTAGAGATGTTGATGTGTTAGTAACCTTTGAGATGTTCTGGCTGATCCATTGGTCTGTGCACTGCTTTGCAATGGGCAGTGTTACTTTGAGTGACCTGTCAGTGGGTACTTGTGATGTTGCATAGCTGAGGTGCTGAGTCTATTAGGAGTGTTCTGTGATGCTCACTTCGGTGGTAGCTACCACTGAATCTTGTGAACATTTGGATGGAGAACTTGAACTTTTTATCAGTGCCAGCGGGTGTCCCTTACTGAATTTTTATTATGCTTTCTTAATGACCTCGAATTAGAAGATGAAGCCACTGTATCCAAGAAATTTTGATTATATAATACTCAATTATTTCTTTGATTGTTCATTACAACAGTGTATCACTAGTAAAAATGATCAGTGTGAAAGTGCCATTTTGGTCCTAGCAAAAGATTTTGCTGGCTTTTTGAGTTTTGATAACATTGCATTTTAGGCTAACTTGAGCCAATCATTGCAGTTAAAATTATCCATAAAGAATGCCAGCTCGGGCAGTTTCCTTCTGGAGATTCACGTAAATCTTAGGAGTCATTTGTGTAGCTTGAATATTTTTCTTTTTTAAAATCTCCAAAATCTCGATTTATTAATTAGGATATTCTTCTCCAGATCAGAATCATTTTAAAAAAACTACTTTATTAAATTTTATTTTTCACACAGTAAAAATATGCCAATTTAAAGTGTCTAATTCAGTGACTTTTGGCACATGTATATATCTGTGTAACAGCAGCTCATTGAGATACTGGAACATTTCTCTCACCCCAAAAAGCTCCTTTGAACCCCTTCCCAGTGGGGGAGGGAGGAAAATTATCTTTTTCTTTTAGCTTCCAAGTTTTCAGTTGAGGCCTTTATAATAATAGGTGGATTAAAAAGAGAAGAGCATATACATTTAAGTTTTTTTGTGACACTGCTTTCGTAAGGCAATAAAAACCTGAAGATGGTTAAATCTAAATGTTTTTGTACTAGGTATGGTGAAGAATAGAGAATTATAGACAGACATGATAGGGCAAAGAGAGATTTGGGCTAAGAGTGATAGAGGGAAACAGCGAAGCCTGCTTCTTCAGGTTTCCCCTGTATCCCTCTGTCTCTAGAGAGAAGGATGCCCCTGTCCTCTGTGAAAGGGAAGTGTGTCACATGAAGACGGCCTTCAGCCGGGGAAGTCTTCCCTGTACCTCCTGTTTCTCAAATTCCTTTCAGCATAAGTAGCTAACATGCTAGCATGTCATATTTTGGAGTAGCCTGTTCTGAACTCTGTCACTGGCAACTCCCCTGTCCCCTGCACCAGGCAATCTAATCTGTAATTACAGGTTAGCTTTGTCATTTATTTTGGTGCAAAAATATTGGAATCCATACATAGTTTTTTTTTTTTTAAGATTTATTTTTATTTATTTGAAACAGTTACAGAGAGAGGTAGAGACAGAGAGAAAGGTCTTCCATCCGCTGGTTCACTCCCCAGATGGCCAAATGGCTGGAGCTGCACCTATCCGAAGCCAGGAGCCAGGAGCTTCCTCCGGGTCTCCCACATGGGTGCAGGGGCCCAAGGATTTGGGCCATCTTCCACTGTTATCCCAAGCCATAAAGAGAGCTGGATTGGAAGTAGAGCAGCCGGGACTAGAACCGGCACCAATAAGGGATGCCGGTGCTTCAGGCCAGGACATTAACTCGCTGCGCCACAGCGCTGGCCCCCATACATAGTTTTGTGTAACACACATTTCTATTAACTTTTTGAAGGCAGTGTTTGCTATTTTTGAGATTTATCCTTGCATGTTTCAGTATTTTTTTTCTTTTTAATTCTGAAGGTTATATAGGGGAACTTCAAAAATTTCATGGAAAAGTTGAATTAAAAGATAAAAATAAAAAATATAAATTTTATTTTTTCAACATAAGCACTATCAAATTCAAAAGACTTCTGTAAGTGTTGATGCCAACCATTTAGTCCATCTCTGAAGAACTGAGGGTCCTCGAAATTTAATCACATAGATGCAGGTTTTTTACACTATTAACTGAATAAAAATCAATGCCTTTGAAATATATCTCAGCCGGTGCCGCAGCTCACTAGGCTAATCCTCTGCCTTGCGGCGCCGGCACACTGGGTTCTAGTCCTGGTCGGGGCGCCGGATTCTGTCCTGGTTGCCCCTCTTCCAGGCCAGCTCTCTGCTGTGGCCAGGGAGTGCAGTGGAGGATGGCCCAAGTGCTTGGGCCCTGCACCCCATGGGAGACCAGGAGAAGTACCTGGCTCCTGCCATCGGATCAGTGCAGTGCGCCGGCAGCAGCGCGCTGACCGCGGTGGCTATTGGAGGGTGAACCAATGGCAAAAGAAGACCTTTCTCTCTGTCTCTCTCACTGTCTACTCTGCCTGTCAAAAAAAAAAAAAAAAAAAAAAAAAAAGTATATCTCAAGATTAGGAAACAAAAAGATGTCAGAAGGAGTCAAATTATGACTTTAAGATGGATGCCCAATGATTTTCCTTGAAACTTTTGCAAAATTTCCCTTGTTTGATGAGCAGAATGAGCAGGAATGTTGCCCTGGTAGAGAAGGACTCTCAGGGAAAGCTCTCCTGCTATAGCTTCTAACTTTCCTGCTACAGCTGCTAACTTTCTCAAACACTCTCCTAGTAAACAGGTGTCATTTGCTCTTTGGCCCTTCAGAAAGTCAATGGGCAAAATTCCTGGAGAATTCCAAGAAACTGGTATCATGTGCTTTGTGTGTTACCAGGCTGTTTTTTCTTAGACTGCACCACTTCGGCCTCTTGGTAGCCATTGCTTTTACTGTGCTTTGTCTTCAGGATCATCCTGGTAAAGTCAAGTTTCATCTACTGTTCCACTTCTTCAAAGAAATGCTTTAGGGCCTTGAGCTTGTTTCCATTTGTTTCAGATTTCTATTGAAAGCTCTGCTGTTGTCTGCAACTGATCTGGACAGTGCCATTTTGTTACTAATTTAGTGAAAGTTTGCTCCACTTTAGTTTTTCAGTCAGAATTGTATAAACTGAACCAATGGAAGTTTCTTTTCTTTACCTTTTGTAAGATTTACTTATTTATTTGAAAGTCAGGAGTTAGAGAGAGAGAGAGAGAGAGAGAAAGAAAGAATATCTTCCATCTGCTGGTACATTCCCCAAGTCGTGCAATAGCCAAAGCCAGGAGCTTCTTCTAGGTCTCCTACATGGTGCAGGGACCCAAGCACTTAGACCATGTTCTGCAGCTTTCCCTGGCGCATTAGCACAGAACTGGATTGGAAGTGGGGCAGTTGGGACTCAAGACAGCACCCAATTGGGGTGCTGGTGCTGCAGACTGGGGCTTTAGCCCAGTGTGGCACAGTACCGGTCCCCTGTACAGGTCTTTTTGTAGAAATATTTTAATTTTTCTTGAGTAACTATTTATTAGTGGAAGTGCTACGTCATAAATAAATGTATTTTGTTTTAAAGATTTATTTATTTATTTGAAGGGCAGAGTTAGAGAGAGGCAGGCAGAGAGAGAGAAAGAGAGGTCTTCCATCTGCTGGTTCACTCCTCAGATGGCTGTAACGGCTGGAGCTGGACCACTCTGAAGCCAGGAGCCAGGAGCTTCTTCTGAGTCTCCCAAATGGATGCAGGGGCCCAAGGACTTGGGCCATCTTCTACTGCTTTCCCAGGCCATAGCAGAGGGCTGGATTGGAAGTGGAGTAGAGGGGACTCGAATTGGTGCCTCTATGGGATGCCAACATTGTAGGCGGTGGCTTTACCCACTACACCACGGTGCAGGCCCCAATAAATGTATTTTTAGCTTTGTGAGAAATGGCCAAACAATTTTCCAAAGTGGTTGTGCTGGTTTACATTCCTACTAGTGATGTATAATAATTGAGTTGCTTCACAGCCTCATCAGCAGTATAGTCTGTGTTTTTTTTTTTTTTTTTTTAATTTTTAGGTCTCATATTGGGTATGTAGTGGGATCTCCTTGTGATTTAATTTAAATTTCTCCAAGTGTAGTCATTTCATGAAGAATGTCCCCAAAATTGTCTTTAATTTTGATCTGTAGACACATATCACTAATGGAAAATCATCTTTTGTATTTTTAAAATTTTCTGTAGGTTCTTTAAAATTGATTGAAGGGAACAGTTCAAAATGCCTGAAAATCCTGCCACAGGTAAGCCAGATACATACTGTTATTATTTAATTATTCAGAAATGGAATGAAAGATGGGATTTAACTTGTACTCTGATTATCCTTCTTGAAGATAAACTGCAGGTCCTGCAGGTCCTTGATCGCCTGAAAATGAAATTGCAGGAGAAGGGTGACACGTCTCAGAATGAGAAGTTATCTGTGTTTTGTGAGACACTAAGGAGCCCTCTCTTCAACCAGATCCTCACACTTCAGCAGTCCATCAAGCAACTGAAGGGACAAGTGAGTCACGCATCAGGGTTTATGTTGATGGGCTCGAACCAGCAAGGAAAGGTCCTAGTAGGAGATAAAGACAAGCTGTCTCTAAAGGCTTTTAGTGCAGCAAGATGTTACTGAGACCTGGAACCCATCGGTAGCATTTGCATGAATAGTTTAAAACTGTTGAGAATAAACTTTGTGTTTGACTTTGAAATATAGTTTTTGTGCTAACTTAAACTTGTAATGGTCAGATGCTTTGAGAATTCTCAACATTTTCTTCATATTTATAATATAGTGCTTAACTTGAAGGTATTTTCTTTGTGAAGTCTTTTTCCAGCAAGAAGTTATCACGTCCTTGTAAAGCATCATTCATACCTCTTTTAATTATCAAGTATTTATTGTTTCTTGTGGATATTCTGATTAGAAATTTATTAGAAGCAGCATACCTGGTGTTTTAATGTTTATCTGTGCTTCTCTACTACAATACAATACTACCTCTCCTCTGTAGGCTCTACATACATAGCTGTTGATTTAAAGGACATATAGTGCGCTTTTTTTTTTTTTTTTTTTTTTTTTTTTTTAAGATTTTATTTGTTTGTTTGACAGAGGTGGAGAGTAAGGTCTTCCATCTACTGGTTCCATCCCAAATGGCCACAATGGCGGCTTGAGCTAGGGTGATCTGAAGCCAGGAGCCAGGAGCTTCTTCCGGGTCTCTCATCTGGGTGCAGGGGCCCATGTACTTTGGCCATCTTCCAGTGCTTTCCCAGGCAATTTGCAGAGAGCTGAATGGAAGAAGAGCAGCTGGGACTCTAACCTGCACCTGTGTGGGATGCTGGTACTGCAGGCAAAGGCTTAGCCTACTATGCCATGGTGCCAGCCCCAAGTAGCACATTTTTAAAAATTTATTTGAAAGGCAGGTTGAGAGAAAGAGAGAAAGAAGAGATCCTCCTCCTGCTGCTTCAGGAGAGAAAGAGATCCTCCATCTGCTGGTTCATTCCCCAAATGGCTGCAATGGCTGAGGCTGGGCAAGGCTGAAGCCAGGATCCTGGAACTCCATCCTTGTCTCCCATATGGGTGGTAGGGGCCCAGGTACTTGGGTCATCTTCCGCTACCTTCTCAGGCACATTAGCAGGGGATGGATTGGAAGCAGAGCAGCCAGAATTGAATTGGTACCCTGATAGGGGATGCAGCGTTGCAGGTTACAGCTTAACCCTTTGTGCCTCAACACCTGTGTGTGCCTTCCTCTCCTACCTCTGACCTTTTCTGAGAGTGATACAACTTTTAACCTCTTGAGATCTGTGTTTTGGGATCAGAGACGGTAAATTGCTTTCTAATCGTCTATTCTGGAAGCTGTGCTTGAATAGTAGACGTGCTGTTGATAAAATTTGGGCAGATTTTTAAATGTAATTGGAAATAATTTAGCAGATTTCTCAACATGTGAAAATTAACAAAATTGGGGGGAAATATACATATATTTTAAAGATTTATTTATTTATTTGAGAGGCAGAGTTACAGACAGAGGGAGAGACAGATAGAGATCATCCATTTGCTGGTTTACTCCCCAAGTGGCTGCAATGGCTAGAACCAGGCCTACCCGAAGCCAGGAGCTTCTTCTGGGTCTCCTGTGTAGGTGCAGGGGCCCAAGCACTTGGACCATCTTCCACTGCTTTCCCAGGCCATTAGCAGAGAGCTGGATCAGAAGAAGAGCAGCTGGGGCTCCAACTGGTGCCAATTTGGAATGCCAGTGCTGTTGGTGGAGGTTTAACCTACTGTGCCATATCACCAGCCTGAAAAAGATCTATTTTTGGCTGATAAGTCAGAGTGCCTGCCCATAACTATTTATTGAATGATTTGTTTATAGCCAGTTAAGGATTAAACTTGACACATATGTATTTCTGTGAATTTGTTTTTTTAAGACTAGGATTTATATAATAATTTTAGCATTCCCAGTATTGAAGGTTACCTTTCTCCATTCTGTGGTAATAGAATGAATCCTATGTCACAGTAGTGAATACCGTTGGTTGCAGTTGAAATTGGGAAAGATAAGTGCAAAACTTACTTTTACTAGAAGAATGGACTTAACTGTCTCATAACAATCCTTTATGGCCGGTGCCATGGCTCACTAGGCTAATCCTCTGCCTTGCGGCGCCGGCACACCAGGTTCTAGTCCCGGTCGGGGCACCGGATTCTGTCCCGGTTGCCCCTCTTCCAGGCCAGCTCTCTACTATGGCCCGGGAGTGCAGTGGAGGATGGCCCAAGTACTTGGGCCCTGCACCCCATGGGAGACCAGGATAAGTACCTGGCTCCTGCCTTCGGATCAGCGCGATGTGCCGGCCGCAGCGCGCTGACCACGGCGGCCATTGGAGGGTGAACCAACGGCAAAGGAAGACCTTTCTCTCTGTCTCTCTCTCTCACTGTCTACTCTGCCTATCAAAAATAAATTTAAAAAAATCCTTTATATTTATGTAGTTTGCAGCTGTTATATACACACTCATGTTTTATCCATTGTACTGTAAGATCTATGTGCCAAAGGATTCTTGATTCTTTTCATGCAGTCCTGTTGATATTTATTCATAGTGTTACTTTTATTCTTTACCTTTATTTGTTGACAGTCTTATCAATGAAACTAAAAAATCCTGCTCCCTGTAATTATAGGACTATCTTCTCTCTCTAATGATGTTTAAGTGGCTGTGTGACTCACCACCAATCTTAGGAAAATTACTTGACCACTATGTGCCTCGTTTTTCACATTCACAAAATGGAATAATGATTTAATCTGTTTACAGGTTAAATGAGATAATACATGTGAGAGTCTTGGTACAGTACTTGGCTCTTAGCAAACACTCAATAAGTACCTTTATTACTGTATGCTACTTGTGGATCTTTTGTGGCTTCCCATGTGGAAATGTACAGATAAATGCAAAATGACTTAGCGTCTTACATGTTTATATGAGTAGGTATATCTGTGCATATGAAGTGTAATGAAATGTTAGTGCCCATGCTATTAACTCCAGGTAGTAGAAGGCAGGAAGCAGAAACAAATTTTAAGCTATTAAGTATTCTGTGTAATATTAATTTTTAAAAATCCTAGACTTATGCACCTATAAATTCATATATTTATTACATGTGTGCATATTTATCATGCAAATTACATACATAATGGAGAAAATAATAATTAATAAATGTTTTAAAATGTCTTTTCTGTAGGTTTCTGTTGCTGATTCTCTTTTATGTTTCCTGTCAACAGCTCAGCCATTTACCCTCAGATTGTTCAGCCAGCTTTGATTTTTCCAGGAAAGGCTTGTTAGTATTCACTGATAGCTCCATTGCTAATGGGAATGTCCATAGGCCCTCTAATAGTTCGACTGTTTCTGGGTTATTTCCTTGGACTCCAAAGCTGGGAAATGAAGACTTCAACTCTATCATTCAACAGATGGCTCAGGTAAAGTTATATCTTTTCATTGTACTATTTAGCTTTTCTTTTTCTGTTTAGCTTTAAAAAGGTACTCATCCTCACTCTTTTTACCTTAAAATGTGTTACTATGTACTTTGCTTGTGCATTTGTGTTATTAGGAGGAGTTGACTCATTTTTAAATCATGTTTTAGAAATTGTTTGGATTAAAATTATATAAGGAAAGCACCCACGTGTGTGTGTGAAAATGTTTAGAAAATGACTGTTTAGAAAATTACTCCAATTGGACACATTTCTGCTCTTGTAAAGAAAGAGATTCTGAGCCGGCGCCGTGGCTCGATAGGCTAATCCTCCACCTTGCGGTGCCGGCACACCGGGTTCTAGTCCCGGTTGGGGCGCCGGATTCTGTCCCGGTTGCCCCTCTTCCAGGCCAGCTCTCTGCTATGGCCAGGGAGTGCAGTGGAGGATGGCCCAGGTGCTTGGGCCCTGCACCCCTGGGAGACCAGGAAAAGCACCTGGATCCTGGCTCCTGCCATCGGATCAGCGCGGTGCGCCGGCTGCAGCGGCAGCCATTGGAGGGTGAACCAACGGCAAAGGAAGACCTTTCTCTGTCTGTCTCTCTCTCTCACTGTCCACTCTGCCTGTCAAAAATTAAAAAAAATAAAATAAAATAAAAAAAAAAAGAGATTCTTATTGGCTTTCATCACAGAAGAAAAATTAATATGTGTGCCAGAAATTATTAAATACTAATTAATATTGTTTAAAATTTTACATCATAGCAGAATGAATAAACTACATCATTTGGAAAATCCAAGGAAACATTCTAGGGTAATACAATTGTAGCCCTTAGCATCTATTAAAAATTAAATAATAGTTGAATTTGGCTGTGTCGGTTTTCTGTTCACCTTATGATCTAATAAGTGCCTTTAAAAGTGAAACTTTAATTTTGAAAGAATCTGTTTAGGGTGTAAAAGTTAAATAATGTTCTGGACCTAATTTCATTTTTACTTTCTTGTTGTGTGCTCTTCATTTGACTAATAATTTTTATAGAATACATTTGCTAGGAGCCGGCGCCGTGGCTCAATAGGCTAATCCTCCACCTAGCGGCGCCGGCACACCAGGTTCTAATCCCGGTCGGAGTGCCGGATTCTGTCCCGGTTGCCCCCCTTCCAGGCCAGCTCTCTGCTATGGCCAGGGAGTGCAGTGGAGGATGGCCCAAGTACTTGGTCCTGCACCCCATGGGAGACCAGGAGAAGCACCTGGCTCCTGCCTTCAGATCAGTGCGGTGTACCAGCCGCAGCACACGGGCCACGGCGGCCACTGGAGGGTGAACCAACGGCAAAAGGAAGCCCTTTCTCTCTGTCTCTCTCTCTCACTGTCCACTCTGCCTGTAAAAAAAAAAAAAAAAAAAATACATTTGCTAGTTGATTGCATTTATAAAGTTCTCATGTTATGAATATAGTTTTTTTAAAGATTTATTTATTTGAGGGGCCAGCACTGTGGCATAGCGGGTAAAGCCGCCACCTGCAGTGACAGCATCCTGTATGGGTGTGGTTCAAGTCCCAGCTGCTCCACTTCTCATCCACCTCTCTGCTACAGTCTGGGAAAGCAGTGGAAGTTGGCTCAAGTCCTTGGGCCCCTGCACCCACATGGGAGACCCAGAAGAAGCTCCTGTGGCTTTAGATTGCCACAGCTCCAACTGTTGGGCCATCTTGGGAGTGAACCAGTATATGGAAGACCTCTGTCTCTCTCTCTCTCTGCCTCTGTCTATCTGTACTGTCATTCAAATAAATAAATCAATCTTTAAAGATTGATTTATTTGAAAGGCAGAGTTACAGAGAGGCAGGGTAGTGTGGTCTTCCATCTGCTGGTTCACTCCCCAAATGGCTGCAATGGCCAGAGCTGGGCTGAGCTGATGCTGGGAGCCTGGAGCTTCTTCCAGGTCTTCCACATGGGTGCAGGAGCATAAAGACTTGGGCCATCTTCTACTGTTTTCCCAGGCCACAGCAGGAAACTGGATTGGAAGTGGAGCACCTGGGACTGAACTAGCACCTATATGGGCTGATGGCACTGCAGGCAGTGGCTGTACCTGCTAAGCCACAGCACTGGACCCAAGAACTCAGTTCTTAACTAAAGTAAAAATCTACCTGTTTGTCATGGAGTAGAACCCGTTTGGACTGGAGCATTGGAACATCAATTCATCACAATAGAATTAAAAGCAGAACCCTAAAAAATGCAGCATCTGGCTCTGACTTACCCTAAATGCTAGCATGTTTTTGATACGTCTTGTTACTTTCCTCTTTTAAAGGTGTATTTTGCATCAAGAGAATTCAGGGAAATTCAGGATACAAAGTAATGTAGAACGTGCTGTGGGGAAGGAGGTTTTTTTCAGAAGCTTTCTTCTAGCCTTGGACTCTCTTTCAGAATGGGAATGGAGTGTGAAGATGCCTCATGACTCCCTCTTGTGTTCTGTCCTGAATAATCAAGGGAGAGGCTTGCCAGAAACAATTGATTCCTGAAATGTTGTTTATTTGGTTTTGTAAAGGTGACTTAGGAGAAGCTGTTTTTGTGCTAAGAAGTTTTGGTTCTGAGGAAAGAGTGTGTTGGTTACTGGTAAGTCATTGGCTTGTTTTTTTTTTATCCCTGTTCCTTCCTCAGGGTCGGCAGATTGAATACATTGATATAGAACGGCCTTCAACCGGAGGCCTTGGATTCAGTGTGGTGGCCCTTAGAAGTCACAATATGGCAGAAGTGGACATCTTTGTGAAGGAAGTACAGCCAGGGAGTATAGCAGACAGGTGAGGAAGATGTTCATTTTGCTAATTCTTTTCTGACAAATCTGAAAACATTGGTAAAAGAATAAAAAACTAGTGTCAAAAACAGTAATAATAGCATGAACTTACTTTTAGCTATTCTCATGCATTTGTCAGGCCTTTTGTTGACTTTCACATATACTGTGGCAGCTGTATAGGTAACATTGCAGCATTTTTTTTTTTAATATTTATTTATTTATTTGAAAGAATTACAGAGAGAAGGGGAAAGACAACAAGATTGGTCTTCCATCTACTGGTTCACTCCACACTGATCACAATAGCTGTGGCTGTGCCAGGCCAAAGCCAAGAATCAGGAGCTTCTTCTGGGTCTCACATGTAGGTGGCAGGGGTCCAAGCATTCAGGCCATCTTGTGCTGCTTTCTCAGGCACATTAGCAGGGAGTTGGATTGGAAGTGGAGCAGCCAGGACTGAAATCGGCATCTGTATGGGATGCCAGTGTCACAGGCAGCAGCTTAATCCACTATGCCACAACATTGGCCCTTATTACAGCCTTTATTAGATGGAAAAAACTGAGGTTCAGAAAGCCTCAGGATATCTGTAGTTACAAAGGTATTGATGCTGGAGTCATATGATTCTAAGACAGTCTGAATGCTAAGCTAGAGCTCTTTACACTCTGTCATTAACAAGTGAACATATTTTAGCTATAGCCTGATCAGTAGAATGAGAATATTGAACCTTTCATTCTGCACACTGATTTTAAGAGTATAACAACTTTTTTGGTGGACATATTATACTTTTTTTTTTTTTTTTTTTGACAGGCAGAGTGGACAGTGAGAGAGAGACAGAGAGAAAGGGCTTCCTTTTGCCGTTGGTTCACCCTCCAATGGCCACCGCGGCTGGCACGCTGCGGCTGGCGCACCGCGCTGATCCGATGGCAGGAGCCAGGTACTTATCCTGGTCTCCCATGGGGTGCAGGGCCCAAGTACTCGGGCCACCCTCCACTGCACTCCCTGGCCACAGCAGAGAGTTGGCCTGGAAGAGGGGCAACCGGGACAGAATCCGGTGCCCCGACCAGGACTAGAACCCGGTGTGCCGGCGCCGCAAGGCGGAGGATTAGCCTAGTGAGCCACGGCACCGGCCAACATATTACACTTTTGATTTATTATGCTATTGTCAGTAAAGAAGCCTCTTATGTCTATCACCCCATTTACACTTGCTTTTTTTATTTAAGGAGTATATGTAAGCATTATATTTTGCTTCCATTTAGTTTCCAGTCTATAATTTATTTTATTTATTTATTTGAAAGGCAGAGAGAGGCAGGGAGAGTGAGAGACCTTCTATCTGCCAGTTTACTCCCTAATTTGCCACAACAGCCAGATCTGGGCCACGCCAGAGCCAGGGGCAGGAATTCCTTCCTGGTTTCCCACAGAGGTGGCAGGGGCCTAAGTACTTGGACCATCTTCTGCTGCCTTCATAGGCACATTATCAAGAAGTTAGATCATAGCAGAGCAGCTTCGCCTCAAACTAATGCTCTAATATCGCATGCTAGCATTGGTTTATTATTTATTTAATAAATACCCTCCCTAAATATGCCTGTTAGAGTAATAGCAACTACGGTGATATACTATTGTAAGAATTCTCAGTCAACAGAATGTCTTTTAATTCACATTCTCAATTCATGGAAAATTAATTTTAATCTCTCCTAATCAAAATTCAGATATAACATTTTCATACCTTTATATCTTAATTCTGTAGTCTAATACAGCATATCCTCAAGTATGTTCTATGGAACCATAGCAATGGTCAGATATGTTTGAGAAACTCTTGATTCTTTTTTCTTGGGGGATTAGGTATACACAGTTTGGGTAATCATAGAATTGTTTTTTTCAAGTTGGGACAGTTCTGGGAGTAAGAGCACATGCTATTAGTAAAGAAACAGCAAATGAAACAGATAGCAAGTATAAAATAGGCCTGTTCTTAGATCATACAATATAGACCTGGACTTAGAATTGCTGTTAGCTTACTGCAGGCTTTGAGATCCTTTAAAGAAAAATCATTTTGATTGACCAGCTGTTCTATATAATTTTAACTTTTTCTTCTCTTTTAAAACTGTTATTGTGATGTCATTCACTAAATAAACTTGACTATTTTGAAGTATAGAATGTAGTTGTTTGTAGTATATTTACAATGTTAGGTAACCATCTCCACTATCTAATTTCCATTATCTCTAAAGAAAACCCTGACATTGTTAGACTGATTAATAGTTTTTCCCAATTCCTTCTTCTCTCCATCCCCTGGTAACCACTAATCTGTTTTCTATCTGTATGGAACTTTTAATATGGACTCTTTTTCTTCCTACAACACCTATTAAATTCCTTAGAACGCTTTGAGAAGTACTGAAATAATATATTTGTCATCCTCCCTAACTTTGTGGTTTCAATATATTGGATGTTTAGATATACAAATCCTATTGATAGAAAGTTGAGCAGCAGTATCTGGTATGTGGGTTCTTTATTCCAGGTTGGTCTTCCAATACTCTAATTTTAAAGCATTCATATCAATAACAAATATAATTGTCCCTACATTCAGCATTTACTTCTCCATTATTTCATGAGGTTATCATGAGGTACCTTGCTAAATACTTTTTTCACAGGTTGCCATCCCATATGTCCATGGTATTTCTGTGATCTACCATATATAGATTAAATACACACAGACTTTAACCCCAAGGACACGAAACTAGAACCAACACCTCTTTGAGACAGATATTTGGGGAGAGAAAGCCTTTATTAGAAAAGGAAGACTTGGGGCCGGTGCTGTGGCACAGTAGGTTAAAGCCCTGGCCTGAAGCGCTAGCATCCCATATGAGCACCAGTTCTAGTCCTGGCTGCTCCTCTTCCGATCCAGCTCTCTGCTATGGCCTGGGATGGCAGTGGAAGATAACCCAAGTGCTTGGGCCCCTGCACCCACGTGGGAGACCCAGAAGAAGCTCCTGGCTCCTGGCTTCAGATTGGCTCAGCTCCAGCTATTGCAGACATATGGGGAGTGAACCAGCGGATGGAAGATCTCTCTCTCTGCCTTTCCTTTTTTCTCTGTAACTGTGACTTTCAAATAAATAAATACAGCTCCTGTGCTTGGAGTGTGGCTAGTACTTAACTGCAGGGGATCATAGTGAGAGATGGTGCAGGATGTGACCAGTGAGAGAGGGACCAGCCAGGTAGGACATGCTAGAGCATATAAAGGGTCTTCATAGTCTTGTAGAGGTCTTCCTTTATTCTAAGGACTTTCCACATAAAACTGTTATTTTAGGAGTTTGTCTAGGGCCTGTTGACTCTCAAAGTCATGGAAATTCATTATCTCTTAATGTTGTGGTGGAGAAATAAGAACTGAGCTTCCCTTGAATGGAAAGTCTGAATTTGGGGTATATGTTTGTGTGTTTGTGTACAAATTAATAGGGAGTTAAATAGCATGTATATCATATAATTGCATGTAATTGTATTGGGGAAAGTTAATATCTGCCATTAAATGTATGTATGTTATAGCTGTATACATTTTTTAGAGATTTTTTAAAAAGATTTATTTATTTATTTGAAAGAGTTATACAGAGAGAAGGAGAGGCAGAGAGAGAGATAGAGAGAGAGGTCTTCCATCCATTGGTTCACTCCCCAGTTGGCCACAGTGGCCGGATCTGTGCCGATCTGAAGCCAGGGGCCAGGAGCCAGGAGCCAGGAGCTTCTTCTGGGTCTCCCACACGAGTGCAGGGGCCCAAGGACTTTGGCCATCTTCTACTGCTTTCCTGGGCCATAGCAGAGAGCTGGACTGGAAGTGGAGCAGCTGAGACACAAACTGGTGCCGATATGGCCCGCCAGCACTGTAGGCGGCAGGTTTACCTGTTCCACCACAGCGCCGACTCCACTTGTATTATTAATAATCATATGGAAAGCTAAATTGTAAGTAATACAAGCAGTAAAGCTAATTCTTCTGTTTGTTTATTTTAAAATTTTTATTTATTTTCATTTTATTTGAAAGGCAGAAACAGAGGTCTTCAATATGCTGGTTTACTCCCCAAATGCCCTCAACAGCCAGAGCTGAGCCAGGCTGAAGCCAGAAGCCTGGAACTCTATCCAGGTCTCCCAAGTGGGTAGCAGGGATGAAAGTATTTGAGCTGCCATCTGCTGCCTCCCTGATACTGATTAGCAGGAAGCCAGACCTATAGAAGAATAGCCCAAACTCAAAACAGGTGCTCTGAGATGTAGGGATGTGGGCAGTTCAAGCAGTCACTTCAGCCATGGACCCAAACACCTGACCCCTAATTAATTTTAGAATATCCAGGCCAGTGTTTTGGCATAGTGGATAAAACTGCCACCTACAATGCCAGCATCCCATATAGGTGCTAGTTTGAGTCCTGGATGCTCTACTTCTGCTCTAACTCCCTGAAAATGCACCTAGGGAAGCAGAGGAGGATTCACATTTAGAAATAACTGTTTCTTTAGGACTGGAGAAAGTTTCATAAGAAACACTCTCAATTTGAAGTTTTTTTAATTATGTAAATCAGTTATGCATATAATAGGAACTTAGAAAATACAGAAACGTAACCAACAAAACACTTGAGACAACTAGGAAATAGCATTAGAAGGTTTTGTTTGAATAAAGTTGAGGTCAATTAAATCTGAGTATGTACCATTCTGTATCTAATTCTTGCCTCTTAATATAACATAAGTGACTTCTAATATCAGTAAAATGATGTTTAAGCAGCATTTTAAATGTTACACAGTGGATTGTCAGAGCCACTCACAATTTTGACCTCAAAAATTAAAATATTCAGCTTGCTAGTTCCAAGGGAGATTCTAGAGCACCCAATTCCCTGTCCTCAGAAGATTTGAAATCTAATAAGCTGGGAATTAGCCAGCTTTGTGAGAGCACACACAGTTGCCATGAGTGTTCAGTAAGTGATGGACTAGTTCAGAGCACTGTGGAAATGAGGAAGTGAAGGAGAGGCTGAGACTTGGTTGGATTGGTAAGGACCGATTGAATTTGGCTGAGCAGAGTGCAAAGGCATGAGTGATGAAGGAAGCAGTTTATACTAGAGTAGGAAATGCCAGCCATGTTCAAAGAAGAGATCAGAGTAGCTGGAGAAGGGGTTTGTGTGAGGAGGAACCTGAGTTAGAGGACTCCTTGGGGTGGGACATACAGACCTTTGAATACCAACTACTATTTGTTGCACAAAGCTCTTTTCCTTGTGTTCCTAGAAGTCAGTAGTTACTATATTCTGGTCTGTGACAAAGTTTTTCTTTTTTCTTTTCTTATTTGAGAGGCAGAGTTACAGACAGAGAGAAAGGTCTTCCATCTGCTGATGTTCTCCCCACATGGCTGTAATGGCCAGAGTTGGGCCGATCTGAAGCAGGAGTCAGGAGCTTCTTACAGGTCTCTCATTTTTACAGTACAGGGACCCAAGCACTTGAGCCATCTTCCACTGCTTTCCCAGGCCATACACAGAGATGGATTAAAGAGGAGCAGCTGGAACATGACCTGGCATCCGTATGGGATGCCAGTGCTACGGGTGGAGGCATAGCCTACTGGACCAGTGGTGGATGCAGAGGGCTTTTTTTTTTTTTTTTTTTAAAGATAAAGATTTTAGACAAAGTTTTGCTGGTCTGCCTCAAATTGAGAAAAATAAGGACATTATGATGGAATTTTCATTATTTCAAGTTTTTTCATGAAAAGGATTATGCTCTGTTCTGAAATCTCTTCCTGTATTTTTTTTCTGAGAGAACCCTTTATTTTAGAGATTTATTTTATTTATTTGAAAGGCAGAGTTACAGAGAGTGAAGAGGGGAAGGAGGAGGCAAAAGAGATCTTCCATCCATTGGTTCATTCCCCATATGGCCACAGCATTCAAGGCTGGGCCTGGCCATAGCTAGAAACCTGGAACTCCTTCCTGGTCTCCCATGTGGGTGGCAGGTGCCCGAGTTCTTGGTCATCTTGTGCTGCTTTCCCAGGTGCATTAGCAGAGAGCTGGATCAGAAGTAGAGCAGCTGGGATTGAACTGGCTCTCATGTGGGATGGACATCTCAGGTGGTGGCTCAACCTGCTGTTCTTTTTTTTTATTTTATTTTTTGACAGGCAGAGTGGACAGTGAGAGAGAGACAGAGAGAAAGGTCTTCCTTTCCTGTTGGTTCACTCTCCAATGGCCGCCACGGCCAGCACGCTGCGGCCGGCACACCACACCGATCCGATGGCAGGAGCCAGGTGCTTCTCCTGGTCTCCCATGGGGTGCAGGGCCCAAGCACTTGGGCCATCCTCCACTGCACTCCCTGGCCACAGCAGAGAGCTGGCCTGGAAGAGGGGCAACCGGGACAGAATCCAGTGCCCCGACTGGGACTAGAACCCGTTGTGCCGGCGCCGCTAGGTGGAGGATTAGCCTATTGAGCTGCGGCGCTGGCCCAACCTGCTCTTCTAAAAACTGGCTCCTGTTCCTGTACTTTTTAAGGTTAAAAATGTTATTTTATGAAATAATCATGATAGGAGTTTATTTTCTTTCCTTTGGCTCTCTTTATTTGTCAATAATCACAGATGACCATTGTTTTTTTTTTAAGATTTATTTTTTTTATTTTAAAGTCAGAGTTAACACAGAGAGAGGAGAGGAAGAGAGAGGGAGGGAGGGAGGGGTCTTCCATTTGCTGGTTCACTCCCCAATTGGCCGCAATGGCTGGTGCTGCACCGATCCGAAGCCAGGAGTTTCTTCTGGGTTCCCCACGCGGGTGCAGGGACCCAAGGACTTGGGTCATCTTCTACTGCTTTCCCAGGCCATAGCAGAGAGCTGGATTGGAAGTGGAGCAGCTAGGTCTTGAACTGGCACCCAAATGGGATGCCAGTGCTTCAGGCCAGGGCATTAACCCACTGTACCACAGTGCCGGCCCTGATGACCATTTTTGAGTTGGGAAGTCTGAGCATGAAGAGAGCCTAGAAAGATAAATCTTGATGAATTTTTGGAAATTAGGTTTTGATACTAGATAAGGATGCTCCAGCTGGTGGAGGTGGTGCTGGGAATGGAAAGGAGGAAATGAGTGGATGCCAGAGAGACAAGAATGATGCAGACTTGTGGTGATAATGAATAAATAAGGGGAGGGGTTTCAGTGGTGTTTGGGAGATAATAAAGTCAGATATAGTTAACCAGGACCAACTAAATCCTAGGCTGTCCTTAGAATGTGCTTTTACATAATTACTTAAGGAGTAAAAGACCAGGCATCACAGTCGGGCTCTAGACAAGAAAGTATACTGGTCTGGGCTTTAGTTTCTTATATGTAAAATTTTACTAAGCATAATACTTTAAAAGGTGATTATGAAGAGTGGATAATGCATGTAGAGCACTTCACACAGTACCTGATTTATATTAAGTACTCAGTAAATGTCAAGTATGATGGTGATTTTTTTTTCTTTATGGACTTTGCTAAGTTCTTTTGAAAGTAGTCCTTTTTACCTGGAATAGCAGTTATGGGGTTGGTACTTGGGAGAGAGAAAAGGGCTCAGATATAGTTTTTGTCTGGATTTTCAAGAAGTAGAGTTAGGCCTCTATTGACAAATGCTGGGGAAGGGAAGGACAGTGGAGATCCAGTGAATCTGCCAGAGAGGAGGTTATTGGAGAAGTTGAGAATGTAGTTATTCCACTGTGGTATGGGTAGAATTGGATTGGAGGGCTTCAGGTATACAGAGGTTATGCAGTAACAGGGGCAGTGTCCATATTTGCAAAACCCTGGTAGTAGAACCCCATGAATTGTTTTTGTTTATTTTTATAGCCAGATGATTTTAAAATGTGTGTGCTTATGTGTCTTTTTAGGGCTAGTTTATTGGTTAGTTAATAGATGCTTTGATGAAAAGCACTCTGAAGAGCTCTGTGCTATTATATAATTAATTATTTGAATACATGTACCAAGTGAAATAGTACTGCTTAGCTTAAATACTAAATTTTTTTTAAAAAATTAGGCTGTTAAATGTAAGAGTGGGAATAAGAGAGGGAAGAGATGTACAGTTTGGGACATGCTCAGTTGGACTTGCCCCAAATGGTAGAGTTAGAAAGGTGTCAGGGGATTCCAATTCAATCCCATCAATGTGGCATGTACCAATGCCATCTCACTAGTCCAAGTGATCAATTTCTGTTCACAACTGATCATAATGATAGGACTAAGAGTCAAAGGGATCACATAAACAAGACTAGTGTCTGCTATACTACTGATAGAATAAAAAGGGAGAGACGATCC